TTGTTTTTAATATTCTACTTTCTTTCATTATTTCAATTCTTCCCGGGGTTTTGTTTTATGCTTCCGTTTAATGGAGTAGGCTCTGCCTGCTTCTCGAACACTTGTTTTTTTCTTCTTCTTTAGTGATTTACTTTCTCTGCATCGTCTGTGCGTCCTTGTTTTGATGGCTAATGTAGATGATAATCCATGGGGTTCTTCGATTGCTCACGCGGTGTCAGGTCAGTGTTAAGTTATAGAAATTGGGTTTGTCATTTTTGGGTGTCTGGAAAATGACCCTGCTTGGCTACTGAGAAACTAGAAGAACGAAAGTTTTCTTTAGGTTCTTATATGGTTAATGTACGGACATTGGTGTTTTGAACTCAGCTTAATTATGAAAAATCCTTTGATGGGTATATCAAAATCCTAATGTACCGGATTGACTGCTCACTTTTCCTCTACTAAACGTATAACCTCAAGTTATATATATATTCGAATTTCCTTTTTATTTTTTGTATGATAGGTTCGGGTGGTGATGATCTATACCAAGAGCTATGGAAGTTATGCGCAGGCCCGTTGGTGGAGATTCCTTGGGATCACAAGAGAGTCTTTTACTTCCCTCAGGGTCACATGGAACAAGTAATTGTCTCTTTTTAGAAATTGCTCTTGGCCTCTTCCTTATGTTAAATTGCATCTATATTTAGATTAAAACTTTGAAATCCGACATTTGCTTTTCTCTTTTCCTGTCTTTGTTTTTGCAAGATTTTTGCTTTATTTTTTTATTGAATTTTCTCTGATGTGTTCTTCAGTTAGAAGCATCAACTAATCAGGAACTTAATAATCAACCCCCACTGTTTAATCTTCCTTCTAAGATCCTCTGTCGTGTTCTTCACGTCCAGTTACTGGTAGTCTATCTCTCATTATGTTTTTTTCCTATTATTTCTTTTATTTTCAAGCTTGACTAGATTATCTTATTATTGCAATTATTTTTTTGTTAATGAAATAGGCCGAACGAGAGACGGATGAGGCTTATGCTCAGATCACTTTGCAGCCTGAAGCAGATGTAAGCAAACATAGTCCCATCCAATTTTTTCTTTTTAGTATTCCATTTTCATACTCTTTGGGGTGACAGATTTTATGAGGAAATGTGAATGAAAACATAATACAATTTAATCCAGTTATTTAGTTGTAGTTATACCTTGCTTAACTCTCTTTGGATAATTTTCTAAATTATTATTACACTTGAAGAGAGATGAAATATTTTTATAGGCTTGAAGAAAATTATTTTATTTATCTATTTTGTTTTTGGATATATGTTTATGTTTGTCATTACAGCAAAGTGAACCTACAAGTCATGATCCCTGCCTGACTGAGGCTCCCAAGAGGACAGTTCATTCCTTTTGTAAGGTTTTAACTGCATCCGACACGAGCACTCATGGAGGGTTCTCTGTTCTCCGAAAGCATGCTGCTGAGTGCCTGCCTCCTCTGGTACTAAGTTTGATTTACGTGTTAATAATTCTGGTTAGACTTCCAGTATATGGTATTGGCTTAAACTGTGTTTATTTTAAACAGTATATGAATCATGCAACCCCTACTCAGGAGTTGGCTGCCAAAGATCTTCATGGATACGAGTGGCGATTCAAGCATATATTTAGGGGTAATGGTTTCTTTCCATTTCAGATTTACTTAACATGTCATTGTTAGGCAAATGTAAATGGTAGCTCTATTGTTTTTCCTTTCTTGATCTGTTTTTAATTCGTAATTCTAATTAATCAGGGCAACCACGGAGACATTTGCTTACGACAGGGTGGAGCACCTTTGTCACTTCCAAGAGATTGGTTGCCGGAGATACATTTGTGTTTCTTAGGTACTCAGACTTCTGCAACTTTTTTTTGGTGATGCGACAATGCTGTATTTTTGTAGTCTCTAATTGTATAGGCTTATTTTATTAGAGGTGATAATGGAGAACTAAGGGTTGGGGTCCGCCGGCTTGCTCACCCACAGAGCAGAATGCCTTCATCTGTGATTTCCAGCCAGAGCATGCATTTAGGAGTTCTCGCTACTGCTGCTCATGCTGTTATGGCACGAACCCTCTTTGTTGTGTACTACAAGCCAAGGTTTAATGTTCTTTCATGATGTAGAAACGGGTGGCAATATTAACTTGTTATTCTAATTACCTATGGGCTGAATTTCTTTCCCTTTGATCTTGTCAGGACGAGCCAATTCATAATAGGAGTAAATAAGTATTTGGACGCCATTAACAATGGATTTTCGGTTGGTATGCGTTTTAAGATGAGATTCGAGGGGGAAGACTCTCCTGAGAGAAGGTATGTTTGTGTCTGTAGGTAGTTCTCTAATGTTTATCTTTTATTTTTTCTGATCATTTTTACCTGTTGTGATTTCCTTTTCAAAATCAGGTTCACGGGTACAATAGTTGGAGCTGGAGATTACTCCCCACATTGGTCAGCATCTAAATGGAGGTCCTTGAAGGTTAAATATAATTTTAAATTATTGATATGAAATTCTAACTTAATTGTTCGTTTTTTATAGTAGTTCTACCCGACTGTTTCTGCTTTTAGATTCAATGGGATGAACCAGCAACGATACAAAGACCAGAGAGAGTTTCTCCATGGGAAATAGAGCCATTTGTGGCTTCTGCTTCTATAAATCTTGTACAACCAGCTTTAAAGAGCAAAAGACAACGGCCTGTTGATATTCCAATTTCAGGTGTGGGAAGATTGTTCTTTAAAGTATTTTCAGTAGAGTATTGGATGCCGACTTGATTAACTTTGATATATTAATTTAAATTGTAGAAATTACTACTACAAATTCAGCCGGTTCAGCCTTTTGGGGCCATGGTTCAACCAAATCTCAGGACCTAAATCAAGTAGGAAGCACACCGGAAGTCCAAACTAGTGAAAGCCAAGTTATGTGGCCTATGAGGCAGAAAGAAGCTGATTACGGTCTTATCAATAGTACTGGAGGTTACAACTCGAGGATTCGCCCTGAAAATGCCTGGCCACATTCACCTCTTCTGAATGTCTCTCTAAACCTTTTTGATTCATTGGGTGACAAAAACAAAACTAAAATACCACTGATTGTTGTCACGGGTCATGCGTCTTCTTTTCAATCAGGGCTGTGCCATGGCCTGAAGCAGGAACAAGTTGAGAAGGGGGGGAAATCTGAGACTTCCACTGGTTGCCGATTGTTTGGGTTTAATTTGACAGATAACACTAGTGCAGCTGACCCCACGGACAAGGAACAAGCAAGCACAACGGTCGGTCACAATTGTGTTAGAGAATCTCTTCCAGATGTGTCTCACACTGATCAGAACCCGGAAACAGCAAAGTCTTCAAAGGAGCAGAAGCAAGTTGCATCAGAGACCTCAACCAAGGAGATGCAGGCTAAGCAGGGTGCCTCTACTTCAATGAGAACTTGTACCAAGGTAAATACGGGTAGCTGCTTGCTTATTCTTATGTTCCTTTTCCATCATTTGTGTTCCTGATTGTATCAATATTTATGGATACCAAAGGTACACATGCAAGGGATTGCAGTTGGTCGTGCTGTTGACTTAACTGTATTGAAAGGATACGATGATCTCATTAATGAGCTGGAAAAGATGTTTGATATCAATGGAGAGCTTTGCCCCCATGGTAAATGGTCCATTTTTTTTACCGACGACGAGGGTGATATGATGCTTGTGGGCGATGATCCATGGGTGTAAGTTACTTTGAAGAAGCACATCTGCTTTGTTTAATATTTTTCACTCGTTTTAGAAAATGAAAGCTTTCCCTTTATTTTATTTGTAGGGATTTTTGCAGGATGGTGAGAAAGATGTTCATATATTCACGTGAAGAGGTGAAGAACATTAGTGCAAGATGTACAATTGCGGCTTCATCTTTGGAGGGTGAAGACCAATATTCGGATCATAGGCCTGAAACATGAAAGAAATTTTGTAAACCCTTATCATATATATTTGGTTTTATTTTGTTTTTGCTTATTTTGATTAGAGTAGTGAATGAAAAGTTGCATTAGGGAATAGTAAACTCATGTATGTTAAAAGTGTAGGAAGTAAGAACATTTGTAGGTTTAGAAATGGAAGGACTGTCATTTGTGAAGAATACCTTTGCTTTGTTGGGTGGTTGGTTTCGGTGAATAATCAGCCTGTAAAATATATTATATATATAATTGTTTGCATTTAGCTTGCCCTTTGTTCATTGTTGGATATGGCCCAATGCTATGGTGCTTGTCTTTATTGAACATCTTCATCAACATTCTTTGTCGGTGACGAATGCAAGTGTTGTCCCAAATTTATTTATATTAGTTGTACATTATTTATCTTAAAATTTTATTTATATCCATTTCATATGAAATATTTATGTTATTAATATATATATCTTAAAAAAATATTTCTAAAATGTCATTGTTATTTGTCGTCAATTAAGTTGTAAAAGGGTTGAGTGATGTCAATTCTGCCGATGATATTGGGGTGACCATAAACCAGGAATGAATATGAAATTCACGTGGGGAAATTGGATTGGCAAGTGAATGAGGGAAAGTTTCTATCCATAGAAGATGACCAAGTAAAGTCCAAAAACAAGCACGCTTCTGAAAAAGGGTGCCATGGTTCTCCCATTGGATCATGTCATGTCACTCAAAATTGGCATCCAATGAGCCTCCAGCTACAATCCTATGGGCTCATGATTACTCTAGTTGCTTCCACCCAAGCCTTGACAATGGTCAATATGTTTTCCAAACTTTCTTCAGGCTGCCACATTTCTTCATTTGACTAAACCCAAACTATGAACAGTTGAATGAAGCTGAGGTCACCGGAAGAGGTGCAAAGTAGATGATTGGTTTTAGGTGCTTTCACTGTTTAAACTTGACTTTCTATGGGGATATGCAATGCAATAATTTTTGCTTTATGATTAAGGTCAATCTGATTAAATAAATTAGTATTACTTTCAACCTATCAAATGTTTAGATTGGTACAAGTTTTTGTTTAGCCTTTGCTTGGTGGTGGGGAAGAGAGCGACGAGATTGACTTAAAAGGCTTGGTTCTTTCTCTTACGGAAGACCAAAAAAAGAGCTCACCCATTCTTTACGGTAGATATTGAATACAGAGTAAGAAATCATGGGATTTGAAGCAGAAAAACAGTCAAGCTACACACCAAAGCTGCTGCTGTTCTCATCTCCACAACCACAAGCGCACATGAAGTCGCCAGAAAGATCAGGGACGTTAACCCCACCATTACGCGCCTCAGCCTCTGTTCCGTTTCGCTGGGAAGAGGAACCGGGAAAGCCTAAACCTTGTACCACACTCACCATCTTCTCTAACCCCAATGACTTGGCTCAAAAGTGCCTGGAACTGCCTCCCAGATTGCTACACGATGCCAGGAATACCCCAGCCTTGGAAGGTGCTAGATTTCAGTCATCTTCTTCTTTCAGAATGGGAAGTGCGTGTTATGGATCCTTTCGTGGTGGCAGTGGTAGTCCCGAGAGGGTGCACCTTGGCTCCATGGTTCTTAGCAAGAGAGGAACGTACAAAGCAAAAGGGTTTCTGGGTTCTTTGAGAAGAAGGGCCTTCAAGGCTAGCAGAGAAGTTGGGGGGACTGGGAATAGCTATGTCTTCCCATCTTCTGGTGATAGAGACAGTGAATGCAGCACCGAAGAAGAAAGCAATAGTACCACAAGTGTTAAGATCATCAGAACTAAAAGGGTTGGCAGCTTTCGTAGCCTCTTACACTCCAACTCCAAATTCTGGGTAAGTTTTAATTCTCATTTTCTTTACAAATTTTCAGTCTTTACTGCAATCTCACTTCCATAGTTTTCATCAGAAATACTGAATCACTCCTTGGGATAATTTGCTTATTATTACTAAAAATTCACCTCTTTTTATGGGAGAGCTAACAACACACAGTAGTGCCTTTGTGGGATGTTAAGCATAAATTTGGTAGATCTTGTTGTTTACGACAGGCAACTATGCAGGAAGGCTTGAGGCTTTCAGTTCCTTGGAGTAAGAGGGAAAAGAAGGATGGATTTGCGGGTTGATCCTGTTTTCTTTTAGTTGACATTGTTGGTGTGAATGAAAATGAGTAATCTAATGTAAAATATAGGATAAAGCACATTACTATTTTGTTTCTTCTCTTGTGGTTGTAAGGCTGTATGCAACTAAGGATTTGTTTGTATTCAACTAAGGTTCTTGATTTTGGTTGAGAAAAAAAGAAACCAAGGTTTTGTGGGCATGGATATGTAAATATTAGCAAATGTATTCAATTGCAGTTTAGTGGTAAGAATTTAACGTTTTACAGCAACAATGAGTTTTTAATCTGTTGCATGCTGGTGTAGTAAGTTCATGCATTCGTGAATAAAAACCAACAATCCCATCTTTTGTCAACCTTGCAGAAATTAAGACACAAACTCTACAATGTTATACACACTCAACATGCTTCGCATTTCATTCATGGATTTATCAAACAAAACCTATATTGTATATCGATTATTAGTTCAATCGAACCAATATGGACTCGTTAAATTCATTTCAGTTTTATAATAGTTTTAAATTTGTTTTTTATTTTAAAAAACTAGAATAAATATTGTATACAAATTGTATTTTCCGAAAGAAGCCGATCTGAACATCTAACGTACAACAGTTTTTTGTGATACTCGTTATGAATGATATTAAACGAATGTTTAATCAACTAGTGGCTGTAGTTTAGTGGTGAGAATTCCACGTTGTGGCCGTGGCGACCTGGGCTCGAATTCCAGCAGCCACATATAGAATTTTGTTTCTCCTTCTCCGCATAGGCCGATAATTGATTCAGAATTTCTTTGAATCAATTATTTCCGTTATTGAGTTCGTCTTAATTTCTCCAAATACTTCACCTCAAAAATAACATTACATTATTTAATTAATTTTAAACAATGTCAATAATATCACTAGTAAAGTTCGTCTGAATTTTACATCAATAAAGTATATTTTATCTTCCTATTTTTCTTCATTTTAAATTTTTTATCTTCTAATTTTATTTTCAGAAATCCATAAGACTTTCCACACTCAACTTTTCTTGCTTTTGCCTTGAATCCCTTACAAAAATACAAACTCTAACGATCTCATAATCTTCCCTGCAGTGCAAGAATCTTGCTCGACGTAGTCCACCCATCTAGATCGAGGAAACCATGGCGATGGAAAATTACAACTCATTCATCCAATTCCAATCCATATTTGAATCCACAATGAAAAGTTTAGCAATAAAAAAGGGGAAAAATATTGGAACATATATATGCACGAAGGGTCCATATATTTGAGGGGGGATGTAACTGTTTCAATGTTAATTATAACAAAGTGCAGAGTATAAAGAGCAAGTCTTGTGCTTGCTTGCTTGGTTCAGTCAAGACCTAAAACCAAAAGTTGACCACCTCTTTGCACTCTCCTTCTTTGTGCCTCTGGCATCAAGAAGATTTTCAAGTGATTTCACCTTTCTGTTCTGAGTCCTTCCGGCTTCTTTCAGGAGCTCGGCTAGCCTTTTCCTTTCATCGTCGACCTCTGGATTGGCTGTTCCATGCTTTTCTTCTCTCATTTTAAGGATGTACTCCAATATCTCAATTGCATCTTCCACCCTTCGTTTAACAAAATTCCCATGTTCAATGGACTCCAATATTTCAATTGTCATTAATTAAGGTTTTTTAACAATATTTCAATATCACTAATTTGCCTATGTAACCAGTCACCAGAGCAGTTAAGCTAAATACATTGAGCACAATGATTTGAACAAGAACACGGAATGAATATTGAATATTATGCTTACCTTCCAATGGCATCGTAGGTGGCAGCAAGGTTGCTATAAACTCCAAGAGTCTCTAAGTGACAAGGGCCGCATTCCTGTTCCAATATCTTTCTTGCCTCTTCGAATAACTCGACGGCCTCATCTATTCTGTAGAGTTGCACACTTGCTAGTCCCATCTGGTTCAATAAAATTCCAAAGAAAGCTGATTTATTCTCCCCACTAGCACGGAGCTTTGCCACGGAATTCTCGAAAGAGATTCGAGCATCCCCATACCTCCCGACCATGTAGAACATCACGCCCATCTGTGCTTCGATTCCTGCAATCGTGCTTCTGTTTCCAGGGGTGTCTTCAAGGAACTTGACTGCCTTCTGAAGGAGCCTCAAAGCCTCTTCAGTCTCTTCCAAAGCTTCATAGATGGCTGAGACTTCAGTCAACCCACTGGCAATCTCCTCTGATGTAGTTCCGGGGACAGGCTTTGCATATATCCTCAAGGCATTCTCACAATAAGATTTGGATTCCCTTAGCTTGCCGGTCTTGTAGTAAAGATCGGCAAGCCGAACAAAGACGGATGCCACAGAAGGGTGGCTTTCTCCTTTTGTGGACTTGAATACCGTAAGTGCCTTCTGATAGGCAAAGATTGCCTCGTCAAATCTGCAGATGGAGAGATAAATGTTGCCGATGCTAACATCGATAGCGGCCACTTCGTTTTCTTGACCATTAGCAATCATGGACATGCTAGCGAGGACAAGGTGCTCGAGGGCAGAATCATAGTCTCCCTTGGCCTCACATACAAGAGCCATAAGCCTGCGGTCAGCTGCTTCTTCAAGGGAAGCTGGTGCACTGTGCTCCTTGTGGATTTCAAGGGTCTTCTTGCAGAGCTTTTCTGCCTCGTCAAGTTGCATAGCTTGAACATGGGCCTCAGCTAAATACCTGCCATTTTCAATGCAACTATGCTTAATTTTAACACCATATTTAGTTATGAAGAAAGCATAAGCTAGTAAGCTATAGGTTGGGAATATGGTGCTTAATTAATCTTCAATTGGAATCCACAAGCAACAAATTGTAGCTAACTTCGTTCAAAGAAACAAAATAATTACACCTAATTGCTTTACCGGTTTAAGCATTTAACAATTCTTCCTTGACATTTTAAAGGATAAATTACACTAGATACCACTGAATTTTAGATACCCACTTAAAATCAATCTTAGAAAGAATAGTGAAAAGTGAATATTTTAATACCAATCTTATCACAATAGACGATCAATGACTTACGAGGATTGACGGGAGTACCAGCCGAAGAAGTACAATACCAAAAAGTAAAGTGTTCTAAAATTTAATGAAATAATCAATATATCCTTAAAATTTAATGACTAAAACATGTTATTTTTGGTACATGTAGTCATCACCAAAACAACATTGTGTCTATATCATTACAAGGACAAACCAATCTATTCACGCCATTATACTATTAATATAATTAAAGAAATTAAAAGCTTAATAATAAAAATAATGCATCGCCTAAAATTCAGTGATGATATAGTTTATCCTGATTATTATTAAAATTATTAGAAATTAATAATATTCAAAACCCTCCAAAAGGCAAACATGCATGTCGCAACTCACCAACAAGAGTTACTTTACCTGCAAGTCTCAGCAAATCTAGGATCCGAATCCCCGAGAGCTTCAATCTGGATCCTCAATCCGGATTCATAGCAGTGAATGGACCGGTCCAATCGACCCATCATCGAATACGTGTCCCCTAACTGCATACACCCAGAAAACCTTGCCAGTGCATCATCCGTCACTTCAATCGACCGCTCCAAAACCGAAACCGCTTCCTCAAACCTCCCCAAGCTACTATAAATCGCCGCCACCACGTGCAAGCTCATCGCAAGCTCCACCCCTGGACCCGAACACCTTTCGAATGATTTCGAGGCTCGGATAGCGTAATCCAAAGCCTTATTCGGGTTATCCCCGGAAGCGATCGTGTCTCGAGCGAGCTTGAGGAGAAAAGGACCCAGATCCGGGTTTTCCAGAGACGACTCATCGATGCCGAGTTTATCCGGGGTTCTTTTCGTTGGCTTGGTACGTGAAACGGAAGGTGATGGAGTTCGCCTGGAACTGCCATTTTCAGTAGCGGCTAGGAGAACTCCCAACGGCGTCGCGTTGGTTGGAGTTTTAACGGAAACCAGAGCAGGCATCAGAAAACTGTTGGTTTGGAAATAAGCAGTACGTGGGATTTAAAAAGATAGAGAAAGAAAAAGGAAGGGAAGATGAAGTGAAGGTGAAGGTGAAGGAAATGATTAATGTTGATGGTGGTGGAGGGTTGCTTGGAGGGAACGCCTCATGATACGATCTTCAGAGAATACAACAACAACAACAACAAAACCCAATTCCCATATGTATGGGGTAAGGGGAGGTAGGGTAGTAGGCTACCCCCAACGCCAGGTTGAGAGTAACTTCCGTGGAAGACCTCCGGCAGTCAGAAAATTAAAAATTTAGATAAAATGCAATGCATGTATAAATAAATACATAAATACATAGCTAAACAGTATTCATATGCAGTCATTAAAATCATATGTGCGTCTGTAACAGGAATTAATCCCTGCATAATTATCCCTGCGAAAGAATCTCTGCATATAGACATAAACATAAGATAAGATCCGGCTAAATTTAAAAGAGGAAACATGAAGAGAATGATACACAGAAGTCAACGTTAGCAAGCCCAGTTCTAATCCTTCATAAATACCAATAACAGAAACGTATAAAAAGTATAAGTCATGGAAAATACTACAAAGACATTAAAAGAAGACAGAGATGATACACCCTATAGATGTGACCCACACTACTCGACTACCCTAGTCTTTAGCCTCCATATTTTCCTATCAGAGGTCATGTCTTCGGTAAGGGCTAAATCCCTCAAATCAGATCTCAAGCAGTCTTCCCACTTTCGCCTTGGTCGTCCTTTCCTTCTGGCACCGTCGACTGTAATCGACTCTACCCTCCTTACCGCATCCGACGGTAGTCGCCTAAGGACATGCCCAAACCACCGTAGTCTTCCCTCCCTCAATTTTTCGGAAACAGACACCACCCCCAAGGACATCCTAATAGCAGAGTTTGTCGTCATATCCCTCAGAGTCTTACCACATGTCCATCGAAGCATTCTCATTTCTGCGGCCTCAATCCTCCTTACGTGATCCTTCTTGGTTGCCCAACATTCTGATCCATACAACAGCGCTGGTCTTATTGCCATTCTATAAAATTTTCCCTTAAGTTTTAGAGGGACCTTCTTGTCACACAGAACTCCAGTAGCGGCCCTCCACTTTAGCCATCCCGCCTTTATACGGTGTGTAACGTCATCATCTCCACTTTAGAGGGATCTTCAGAGAATGTGTACTTTAAAAAAGAGATACAACAAGAGAGAGTTACAGGTTCATGAGTGATAAGAGTCTTCTTGTTTACTCATGATTATGACTTGGTTCGTAAGGAAGAAATAAAGAAAAAGGGGGGTTTGTCTTTCATTTCACCGCCGGTGGCTACTAGTGTTTGGTGAGAGTAGGTAGGAAGGTAGTTGTGCCACATTATTTGCTGTCAGTTGTGCCATAACACTTGACCTTCCTTTGTTTTCACTTGATTGAGGATAACTGAGATATTAAGTTTTTTTTGGGGTATAAAAATGATAAATAATGAGTGGAGATCAATCATATGACAGTTGAAGTTGAACGTCATTGATCATCCACACCAAACTCATCTGGAATCTGTCACTGTAACAAGATTTCAAATGGTAAGCCTTTACCCTGGTAGTTAATGGATGGGACAACGACTCATAATCAATAGCTACTGTGTCATTTTACCATCAGATAAGTAGTTATTGTAGATAACACGTGAACATACTAGAGTAAATTAAGTAATGACCCTAAACCACTTATTGGTAGTCGCCACCATGAGCCCTCTTAGTAATAGTTATCACGTAGCGTTATAAAAGCGAATAGATCCTATCCTGCCAGAGGATCGAGGGCCACCCGAGACCTTAAAAACACGTAGAATTCCAAACATACAAAACTTGCATCTTCGGCCTTAACTAGGAAAAAGGGATAAAAAAATAGAAGAATGCAGAAAAAGAAAATTCTACGGAGACTAAGGTGAGTAAGGGAAAGCATTTTGATATAAATTACAATTACATAGAAAGGCCAAGTTGAGTTTGAGGTACTGAATCATAGGAAAGGTATTTATTTATCCTTGGGGTCTCGCCAGCAAAGCAGCATCAACACACAACGCTTAATTATCCACAGCTTAGCTCGTTTCTCCTTCAGGATCTTACTTCTTGGAAACTCAACTTTGGTTCGTTTCCTCACGGGAAAACCCAGACATCCTGTTGCCATGATTTTTGCTTCTTGAATTGCCAAAGGAATAGAAACCAAACCAAGTGTTCGCACTCTTGATTTTCTTTGTTAATAAAACGAGGCAGCATGGGAGTTACAGAGGTTGGTTACAATTTTTTATCCCCTGACGCTGCATGCCTATTGGAGTAAGAGTTGGAGATTGTGATTGTCTTTGGAAGCTCCGCAAAGGCACCCGATAGCCGGATTTTTGCATTGAATTCCAGAATTTTGTTACATCGGCATCAGTTTTCTTTAACGTAGGAATTTCTAGATATCTGTTCCTGAGCAAAACAACTAACAAGCCAGGTGTTTTACTGCAGATAGGGGGGTTTCCTTGACGACTAGATTAGATTTGGCAGAAGATGGAAATTTGGGTGGAATAATTGTTATGGTCTATAGGAATTTGTTCTACCGTTAATAATTCATCCTTTATGATTTGAATGGAGAATTGCACTCAATTGTTATTTTGTTGTTGATCGAATTTGAGTATTTTATCTTTATAAGGTAAGGGAACTAAAAAAATTATTGTTATCTTTAATGTTCATGGCACACGTAAGGTCATAATTAAATTTATAGACGGGCAAGATGGATAGACCCAACTAATGTAGTCAATTATCAATTAATTTTTACTCTTGAAATCTGCCAAAGACCATGTATAATCTTTTCGAGAGATGCACGGTTTCAGGGACCTATATATATCCGAAGATACAACAATATGTGACTAGAAATGTGCTGAAGCTCGATAACAAACAATAAAAATCGATTATAGTCATGAGCCTTATTACATGACCTATAACTGTCCTTTCTGAAAGGGTTCTCGAGAAGAAAATATATTTATTCATGGAATCTAATATCCAAGTAGAATTGGACAGTCTGGATGCTGTCCGAATGTTGAATAATAAGGATAACCAACATGGTATGTATACAATCAATCTACACATCCGAGAGCTAAGGAAAAGAGCTTGGACAATAAGGATCCAACATGTCCCTCACAGAAGTAATAAAGTGGCTGATGCCCTGGCAAAATTAGCGATCCCAGCCGACTTAGAAGTGCATTATCTCCAATACCCACCACCGACAATGGCAAGGTTGCTACAGGAAGATGCTGCGTTGATATAGTCGGATATAGTTGATAGTTTTCCCTTCATTCACCAAAAAAAAATCCATTGTAGGAGGGAAAATTAAATTAATCCATGCAACAGTCTAATATGGTTCTTTAACATCAACCTGTACCCTACACAACGGATAAGTTTAGAAGATGCCAATGTATGTCCACATTATGGTTTTAGAAACTGAAAACAATATCATGGGTTGATTCTCTCTGAACTCCAGCTTTTAACTCCATTTGTTTCAAGTTTGGATATAAACTTAAGCCTCTGATTATTCTTCAAATCCAAATAATCAACCTGCAAATTATTATAATTTCTTAAATTTAAATACAATTAATCAAAATGAAGCAGTAGATATAGCACCCGGTTCATTGCTCATTTCTATCTAGGACTTTTTTAGAAAGGAACTGTAAGTTAAGACAATAAGTGACCTGATCAGGATCTAAAACCAGCAGACAAAATGCAGCAACTGGGCCAATCGAAGGATCAAAATGAGCTTCCTCCTCACTTTGGTGTTCAGTTATGAGCGACAGACCAGGATGAGGTCCCAAGTATTGTATCCTTGATTTGATAGAACTAGCAAACCAAGATTTCTCCCTTTGCTGCATAAGTTACAGCCTGCTTAAGTTTTTTTCAAGGGGATATAATTATAAATTTAACTTTTTGTGACAAATAAATTGTGATATAGCTTATAGACTAAACAGAAAAAATAAATACGAATACGATTCTATAACGAGGAAATACATTTGGTAATTATGTTCTACAATAATAATTATGACTATGGGCCTTTGGCACCATCATCAGTTCAATAAAGGCTTTCTGGTAGCTTCAAAAAAACTCTAATCCTAAGACGTTAATATCAGCAATTAAAATAAGTTCTTATCATGTTGCTCATGCACTCAAATGGTGGTATATTCTTGCCTAACCTGAAGTTTGAGGGTGTCAGGATTGGAACCATCGATAACATCAACTCTTCCACTGATCCGAAACTGCTCCCATGAATCAGTAAAGTACCAACATATCTGCAGAATTACACAATCAATAAGGGGAAAATTACAAAAGATTAATAAAAGAAAATTTCAACAGTACACCCTAAGTAAAATGCACAATAAAAACAGATAATTGAAAATAACGAGGGGGGTATACCTCAAATAAAAATTACCTCTGCAAAAGGGCAATGCTTCAGCTCTTCTATCTGCAAAAGTAACAAACGGTTTGATGCCCGTTTCAAAGAATATTCAATAGGAAAATAATGGAAACAATCATGAAAGGAAGATTAAATATGAAGAAACCTTTTGAGTCCTGTTATCGGTGTTGATATGGAGCTTGTCGTTGTTTTCTTGAAATCCTCTGTAAATTTAACCAAAAACACTTAGAATTCCAAACATACAAAATTAGAATTTCAATAGACTTTGCAATTGGGTACCTAAAAACTATGGTACGATTGGAGGGTCTTCCATTACATCCAACAGTTGCCTAAAACAGTAAGAAAAAGTACCAACAACTCAATAAGAAAAGATGGCGAACAAAAGAAGAAGAATGGAATAGTAGAAAGGATAAAGGCTAACGAATTGAAAGTAGGAAGAGTGCTTGTGATGAGAATTGGATTCCAAAGCGTTGAGAAGAAGCTGCTTCCATGGTGCTGTTGCCGTTCCCATTCCTTTCTCCTTTTTGTATTTTACGAATGCGATAGGTCCGAGTGTGAAGTATTGTCATTCGGATATATGGATTTCCAAGACCAGGTGAAGTCCCATTTTTGTCCCACTTGTTGGACCGTATTTGGGCCCAATGTTAACGTTGTTCATTTAGATTTGGTATTCAGGCCCTTCATGAATAGCTAAACAAATTTATTTTTTGGAGTAAAAAAGTTAATTAAACCCATATAGTAAAATGCATTAAATTGAGTATTTATGAGTTAAAAAATAATTTTTAAATAAAAATTGAAACATTTTGTCCCACTTTAGTAACATATTGTTTAACCAAATTAATTTAACTTAATTGATTAGTGAACTCATTGACTATAATGTTGTTCCCTTTAAACGTTTGAGTTTGAGTTTGAGTTTGAGATATATATAAAAAAATTGAATAAAAGAAAACTCAAATCGATTTATTTGATCTTAACCAAACCCTTATCTCCACTCCTAACTAATAACACTCACCCCTAACTATCCTACTTTTATAATGTAAAAAATTTAATGAATTTAAACATCAAAATGAAACATTTTTAAAATAAAACATTTAAATAATAAATATTTACATTCAATTTTGTTATCTACAGAAATAAATCAAGTTCAGATAATAGATATCCAAAGTAAAATAGATTTCAGATAATGGATATTCAAAAATCAATATCCACATCTCCTATAAATTCCTTACAAACAATTGTTCGTAATTAGATTATCCGAATTCATAATATCAATTCAAAGAACAAAAAAAATCATATATCTGTAAATATCTGAATTTGTACCATCCAATACCATTAGTACACTTTGAATTTTGCATTTAATTCCAAGTCTGATGCATTTGCATGTATTCTAAAATTCTGGCACCTACTAACTCATCTTCTAAAAAATTATTTTCTTACTATAGTACACTTGAAGTTACACATCAGATCCTTTTTCACCCCCACAAAAATGAGAAGGGATAGAAACAAGAGGAGCAAATCCCCTAATATGCACATATTTCTTTCCTATAATCAATCCTTGCAAATTGATTCCAAGGGTAATAACAAATTAAATACAAAGCTTTATGAATGACTCTTCATTGCTTATTACATAAGAATTACCTTGCACTGCATGGTGTTGAGACTACAGCCAATGATTTGCAAACTAAATACGCCCTCCCCAAGGTTGACGACACGACGTAATGCTTGACTTGGACCATATCACTCTAAGAATGTGGCAATGGACCAACCAATCATTTGACAATGACACCTTCCACTAATGCAAAGCAGCCCCCAGAATCGTCCAAAATCAGTTAACGCACCATGACGGCCAGGCATCCTATAAATCACACCGACAAAAACCAGCCCCACTAGATTTTTCAGGAGTAACTCCTGTCCACTGGATATAATATTCTCCTCCTGTGTTCTAAAAGATGTCTCTCCAAAGGACCCCACCAAAACATCTCCAGTTGTAGAGCAATACACAGCTTGAAATGGGACTCCTAGGCATGACCCTGTCAATTGGGTTTGCACTTCTAACAAATCAAATAAATAATATCATTAAACTGAATATTTGATCCAGTTAAATTCAACCGGCCATATCTTGACATCTAGGTGAGCTGAAGTACAGAACAAGAATATTGACTAGAACTAAGATTTGAATCCACTGTTAAAGACCTGTCAACTTTGTTTGGCCTGCAAAAGAAATAGTGCCTTGACATCAGATACAGTCCGCATGTATATGTCTGCTCAACACTAAATCCTGATATCGCTGTGGATATAACTTGAATCCAATCATTCCCAAATGGGAAATCAACCTAGCAACAATCATTTTTAGCCCCGAATCCAGACGACAAAAGTTTCAGATACGAGTGATGTAATTATTTCTTTGTCAAGATCAAACAGAAGAATTTCAAAGTCATCTCAATAAAGCTAACTGTGGATCGGTAATCCATAATTTTGGAATGATCTAATTCGTCCGTCATATCCAGCTGTTACAATTACGAGGCCCCATGCATGAGAAGAACCAAGAGCACTCTGGCAAGATGTCTTAAGCAACTTGTACTGAGATTTGCAAATTGCAGAAGACAAAACCAGGGAGTTTGGAAGGAGAAGCTTTTCCACTGGCCAGGTTGCAGTACCCTTGGGCAAAGACAGTGAGAAAAATCCATGTCCCAGTGAAAAACATTCAGATGAGGAGAATGCCAATTTGCGTTCGGAGATCTCACCCAACTCAGATTGCAATTCCCCAGTATTCTCATTACACCTCCATCTGCTAGACAAATCTTTGGGTGATGGTGAAGTTTCTGACATATTTGGGCAAATAGACTTTCTACATGTTATCCCACACCAAGGAATCGCGACTGATGCACTATTGGAGAAAAAACGTTCACAAGACCAATTGTCCTTTGCGCGGGGCACTGGCCCATCCTGTTTGATATAGTTCCACACATAGACATTAGAATCTTCGCTCGCCGAAACAATTCTCATTCCATCTGAGGTGAATGCCGCAGATATCTGCCTCCCTGGCCTTGCATTGTGCAAACCTGTAGTAAAGAAGATCACTTAAGTGTGTTAATAAAGTCATCTCAATTAAGGCTTAAATCAAATAATATGGTGTAAAAAACTTGGTAGTTCAAATTTTGATCCATCTCTGCTATCTCCAAGTTGCATCACTTATTTTCAATCCCAATGTTTCGTTACCACATTTCTAATTAATTACGAAGCTACCAAAGTTGCACAAACATAGTATCTGATTAAAAAAATAAAGTAAGCCAAACAACTACCTACCTCGAAACTTGCATACCATGTCAATACCATTGAAGATTTGAACTTGTGAATCTGAAGAAGTGACCATTAATATATCTGGGTCCCCAGGAGAAAACTACAAGATAATCCATCTATTAACTTTTGAATGCTTGGAAGCTTACTTGAGGGCATAGACATGTTTCAAAAAGAGAACGAAGAAAAACAGATGGTAGAGGTCAAAGTCAATACCTGAAGTCCGGTTATTCTATTGCATGGTTGCTTCTTCTTACCGTGTATACATATTTGAGCATTAAGTTGCAGGCAGTTATCTGGTTCATGTAAACAGAGTGGTTATTGTTTTCCTAACAAATTAACTTTCAAAAAGGCATCTATTATAGGTCTGGTAAAGAACATTCAGAGGCTGAACATAAATAGTGTAAATCACCTATCAACACTACAATGTTGCCAATCGTAAGAGCAACTATGTTCAGATTTTATAAATTAGAAACCCAACATGAAAGAATAAGGTTCCCCTGAAACGCAGAAAAGGTATTTGACAAAGGGAGTTCTCCAACATTGCCATTCAAATTGCAAAAGTAATAATCCATTTTAGAAATTAATAAATATTGTGATTCAAATTTAGCAGAGTTATTTCATTCATCAAAAGTAAAACCAAATTTCACTAAGGGACAACAGAAAGTTTTTCTGTGGTCTTTGTAGGCCGTCTAAACTTATAAGGTTTCTAGACAAGGTAGATCGTTCAACAACAAAAGTTACATATTGAAGTTTTTGATTTCCCACAGGCAGGAAATATTTTAATTGATATCCTCACAACATTCTATTTTAATGTATGGAAAGTTGAAACTAATCAAACTTGAGAAGAATATGATGTAGTCCAATAAACTTCTAAACAAAGAGTAGAAGTCTCAAGATCCTAGAATTCCATTACCAGAGATGTTGACAAAGAAAAAAAACAAATATTTTTTTAAAGTAGCAATAAAACAAAATTTCAAAAAAAAAACCTGGAAATCAAATATATACCTGAGGCATCATAGAAGCGGCAATTGCCATTCATTGAGCCAATAACTGCACCCTGTAGAAGGGGAAAAAATAATGAACTGAAAATCCTAAAACCTGATTGGTAAATAAAATGATTAAGAAGAACTCCATCAAACCTTTCCATCGGGGCGGTAACACACCGCTGTAACAATATCTGTCACATCAATCCAATCAACAACTTGACAACCAGGAATTGCCCAGATACGCACTTTCCCATCTATGGAACCACTTATGAAGTAATCATCATCCACTGGATTAAACTGAACGCATGTTACTGCATCACAGAGAAATAAGATCATAATATATAACAATTATAATGGCACAAATTAAAATGCCAAAGGTAATTGCGCACCTTATCAGACATTTCTATAACAAAAAAATAAGGCAGAATAAAAACTCGAGCACAGATTAAACTTTATTACCATAATTATTGTGGAAAAATACTTTTTGGAATTTGTCATATCCGACTTGACACAGGCGAACTGTCTTATCAACTGAGGATGATGCAATATGCTGCAAATACACAAACCTCAATTACATACCCAAATAATTCTAGCAAATAATAGCAAGTTGTTTCAAATTTCAGAGCAATTAGTAACCTTATTCTTTGACCAGGAGAGGTCCAGGACCTCACCACAATGCCCACGGAACTCATGGATAGGTTTATCAAAGATTTGGAAAACTTTCTGAGGGAAAATGACACAGATCGAGTCTGAATTTTCCTTCACACCTGTTGATTTTTCTTTTTTCTCTTGGTCCGCATGTACAGGAACTAGCTCAGAAAAACTATTTACTTGGAAGTAGACATATGAATGATTCACATCATGAATATCAGAATTCCCTGATCTTTCAGACTCCACAACTTGCCACACACGCACAACACTGTCTTCACCCGCACTTGCTAGGAACTGACCATCAGGGCTAAATTTCATCATTAAGATGGCCCCCTCATGTGCTTGGATATCTTGTATCATGTAAAGTGCTGAGAATTCCTTTGACCGCTTCTTGTAAGATCTAACTAGAACCATTTGAAACCCCGCCTCCGTATTTGGATAACAATTGTTGAATATCATTTGAGGAGATTCAAACTTCCTATCAGCAATGCAAGCAACAGCATCTAATCGCTTAAGCCATCATTTTCTTCTCCGCTTTCTTTCAAGCCCTAAATTGGAAATTTTTTTGACCTCCCGACACATGGCTTTTTGAACTAGGGGGAATAAGCCAATCTTCCTTTCAAACTCATCAATGGTAAGCAAATTGTTAGAACCTACTTCCCTCAATCCCTTGAACATACCATCTTGACTAAGTTCATCCACAATGAACTCTGTCCCATCATCCAAATTCTTAATTCTACACACGAAGTTATCATCAAACGCCTCATCTAACAACTCCCTGACATCACTTGACCAACAAGACACGGAAGGCTGACTTAATGAAATACCATCATCAAAAACTGATGATCCTAAAAACGCTTCAATATCCTCCGTAATTCTATCAATCTCCACTTCAATTTCATCACAGCTCATGTTAGCGTGGCTTTCCCTGAGAGTCTGATCTCCACTTAAACCCATCCATTTTAGAAATTTATTACGTCGTCCACGAATGCTGCCGAAGTTTTCAATCCAAACTTCAACTCCGAAGTTAGTCGGCACAGAATTAGCTGGTGCAGCATGCTCGGGATCAGAACTATCGGAGCAATCGGATCCAAAATCAGAAACAGAGGTGATGTCTTCACGGGTGTAAAAAAATTGATCTTCCTCTTCACTCAAACTCCCCATCATTAAGCCGCACAGTTCAACCCATGAAAACACACCCTCCCCACCAAAAACTGCCTTCTCAAAAAATCCCTGGGCAATGTTCTAAATTCCCTACAACAATATATGAGAAACAAAACATTAAAAACCCAAGACAAAAAAATCGTCATAAAACTATAATAAAACCCATATCCCAATTAAAATCCCGAAAATTATAAGATAACATAATGGCGAACATCTTTAAGCCAAAACTAAAATCTAAAAACAATTGTTGACGAGCAAATCAGTGCAAAATGAAACAAACCAATTGAGATTGATAGAGAAAAAAAGTTACGAGGGGATTGGTACCTGGGTTTTTGATGAAAACACCGTCAAACCCAAGATAACGCTTAATCATATCTCATCAACAACTCGACACCTTCCAGTTTCAACCATGGGGATTTCCAGTTCCTTCTCTCTCTTCTCCTCAACGGAGAGGACAAAGTAAAAAGTGGGGGAAAAAAAAAGAAATTCTCGAGAGAAGCGAAAACGGATGGACTGTGGCCCGATAAACGAGGTTTGGAGAGGCGAGCAATGTTGCCTCGCTGGCCACTATTTCAACTGCTCAGTCTTCGTTACCGCCATTTCCCCCCTTTTTTTTTTTACTGTTTTAGTTACAAAATTAAGTAAACTAGCCGAATATTGTTCATTACTTTGTAAAATACTATATATTTTTTTGTTGAAAAAATATTATATTTTAACATGATTATAAAATAATAAAATTTAAAAAAGTTTGATTTGACTTCATATATTTTAATTATTGTATGAGTTTCCGTTTTGAAATTTGAATGTTATATTAAATTGAACAAATCTTTTTGCATGGATTCTATTTTCAGATTTTTTTAAAAATAGTTTGAACTATACACGTGTGGCACGTGCTATTGAAGCAATTAATAATTCTCGTGGTAATTTAGGGAAATTTGAAGAAAATATAGATGTCAATAAATTAATTAAAAAGTAAATTATTTAAATAATAATTTCCAAAATCGTCTTTAGTTGTTGATGATTTTAACAAAATTTTCTTATATTGGATAGAAAAACTTTGATACTCTAAAATTATCGGCAACAGTTGAAGATTTTGTTAAAATCGTGAATAGATTTTAGGATTAATGACCAAAAAAAAAAAAAAAGTAGAGACATGGTACGACGGACTAGAATGAAAGAAAAAAAGAAAAAAGATAGACCAATCAAGAAAATAAAAATTACATAAAAACAATGCTCATTGCTCAAGGATTAAAATACAGAAAAATAGGAACCAATGGTACTAATTATCAAAATGAAATAAAATAAAAAATACATAAAAAATGATTAAAAAATACAAATGTTTATGTGTTGTGAATTTGTGACAAACACGAACATGAGTTGAACGACGACGATGACATGTATGCTTGATTCTATACTCCAATCATTTATTGAGGAAAAATATACAAGTTATATTTAAACACTTATAAAAGTCAATATCTAACCAATGCAAGATTTAACTCTTTACATTACCCACGAATCTCGTATTGATTAGATATTAGTTTTATATATGTTTAAATATAATATTCACATTTTATCACATTGAATGAACTCATCAAATAATCTCAATGATAAAAATGAGTTTTATTCTCCTTGATATTCTGGTTTGAATAGTTGTGTTTGTAATGTGTGTGTTGTCAATATCTAATTCTTTTGAACATGTACTACCTTAAAATCACATTATACACACGTTATCATTGTTGTCCAACCTGAATTGTGTTCGTTTTAACACACAAACACGTGTGTTTCTTTTTTATTATTATTTCTTCTATTTTGGTCATTAGCACCATAAGCCTTTTTTTCATTTTGGTCATTGGCACTAAAATCATCAACAACTATTCACGAATTTTACGAAATCATTGTAGTTGTCAACTATTTGGGGTGTCAATTTTTTAAACCCAAAATAAATTTATCAAAGTCACCAACAGTTAGGACATAGGTGTAGTCATGTAGAGAGTGGGAGGAGCTCTACTCCTTCCCAGTTTTTTTTTAATCTAATAATACTTTATGTCCTTATCAATTTAAATTTAAATCAAATTAGACATGGTTCTTCTTGAAATTTGAGATTAAATACTTAAAGAGTCTTTATTGTTTTTGCTTCGCACAACTGACTCTCGTACTATTTAATTTTAATTTATTTTAATTTTATCTATCTATTTTTTAATTATACTTTGCTCCTTAAATTGATATTCTGACGATATTCATGTTAATAAAGTAATCTTTTAGGCCCTTCTTGTGATACTTTAGATTATCATAACCGAACCATATTCTTTTTATGTGTGTTTTCTGAATATTATTGTGTTGTGATTTTACTAATTTGTTAATATTATTCTTCCAACGATGTATATTAGGTATGTCTAAAGATTCATATTTTAATGATAAAAGAAGAATATTGTTCTATATGAATGATCAAAATTCAAACAGCATTATTTGCACATGTACATGAATTTATATCTATTTTTTTCTTCCAAAAAATTTGCTTTTAGCCGAAGAAGAATCATATTAACTAAGAGCAATGGTATTAATTGGGATGAATAGAAGTGAGGAATTAAAGATAGTTTAGGAGTCGTAGGACAGATTTGTACAGAGATGAGATGCGGAATCGACAAACAGAATTCAATGCAAGCAAACACACACAAGCTGGTGGAGTGTGACCGATATCTAGGCTGGAACTCGAAGGTTGACCTCTTCAATTTTCGACAGCCCTCTGATATGGCAGCTGCTTGTTTTTGTCAATTTTTTTTATCAATAATAAGTTTTCATTAAAGAAAGATGGGAAACTTACGGCGAAAGCGGGTCAAAAATTTTAGTAGAATAAAAGGGCCAAGCCAACAATACAGTTCAGAAACAATTGGAAGCACAAACCTGAAAATAGGACAAATAAGTAGGGGCGGCGACAACCCTAAAGCTTCACCGGTATAGAGTGGTGGCGTGGGGCGGGGGCAAGAAACCCCAAGACTAAAACAACATAAATTGAAAAACATAAAAATAAAAATGTCATGCCTCAATTTCGGGACTAGAAGTTTGAGAATCAAATTACAATTATTTAAGCAAAATTCAAATTGTGGTGGATCAAATTGGAATAAATGCAAGTTCTAAAGGGTTTAATTGAATTAAGTATGAAGTTTAGAAGGTTAATTTGAAAAAAATGTACTTTGGAGGGTTTAATTGTTATAATTTGTAAGTTTAGGGACTCAATTGCATATGAATAATAATAATTAAGTATTAAAATTGGATAATTAAAAAGTTAAGGGGCCCAATTGAAAATAAATTGTAATTATTAGTGATCAAATTGAACAGATTCAAGCTAGATATTCAATTCAAGAAAAATATGAACCAAACCAAAGAGCAAAGTTTAAGGTTAAATTCATGAACCTTGGAAAGTCTAGGGTCATATCTTACAATTTACCCCAAAATAATTTCACTAATGTGAAAACAATAAGTTAAAACATTAGTACATCAGTTTACTTATTTACAAAAAATATGAAATAATATATGATATAATGGAAAACTCAAAAGAAAATTGGAAGAATTATAGATTAAATATAAATTAGAATTTGCAATTTTCAATTTTCAATTATTAAGATAACATATAATTGATTGATTTATGAAGTATATATGTATGCTTTATGCTATATTTTAATATTTAATATTTTATAGTTTTATTATTATTATTATTATTATTATTATTATTGTTATTATTATTTTCTTTATTTTTTATTCATATTTATCTTGTTATTTATTATTATTATTATCACTAACATTCTCTCTTTTTTGCAATGTTACTTCTTAGGTATGGATTATCATTTTTTCTTGAGACAATATATTCTTTTAAAAGTATAAATTTTAGGCATTGTGAGAGTGTTTTAATTTTTTTCAGGCATATTTGATTCTTGAATTTGACTATGACCTCGATGTAAACTTATAGATATTTAGTCATATCTAACTAAAATAATCAATGGCGATTCTAATCACATGACAAACTCGTTAGAGACTCGATGCATGTGAACTGCCATAAAATGACTTCGACAATATTAAATACTTAAAATTATTCAACCTCACGTCCTCTTGTATAGTACACTAAAAACGATATTAATTGGTTCATTAGTGTAGAAGTTATAAAACAAATACTGAATTGATTTGTTACTATAATTATTTTCTGAAACATTAATATTTTCAAAATAGATTTTCATACACTATACCAATTGTAAATTTGTAATACATCAATAAAATATCATGGATCAAATCTTGTTGGTAGGTCTAAGAAAGGGATAGCCTATTTATACATTACCAATCATTTAGCCCAAACAGTAAGCACAGAAAAATTAAGGAAATAATTAAAAGAGTATGGACAACAACAATTATTTGGTAATCTGTTTGAGGTTTTGTTTTAATTTTACATGTAGCTTAATATTTATATTCAATTTCACTTAAAAAAAAATTTACACATACCTATAAATAAAATTATTCAAATTCATATCACTTAAAAATAACAATATTCCTTTTATCATCTCGACCGTTGTTTAAATTCAACTCTTAACATTTTCCAGATGCTTTAGTCCTTCATGCCATATGGATGCCATAGATTTTCTTATCAGCCCAAAAAAATAGGCCGACCAATCAAGTTATCGTTATTCCAATCTTTGTGGCTGCTGAATTATTCTGAATTACTTTTGAAATGCCACATGTCTCGTGTCTAATCAAACACAAAGCAGCCGACTATTCGACCCCCTCTTATTGGCTATTATTATCGTTATTATTGGTTTAGTGACGGTTGCCATCGTTATGCGTGGTATTATTAGAGGCCACATGTTAAAAGAGATGATGCGATCGTGTGGAACCACAACATGTGGACGACTACTTTCGTACAACAGCAAGAGGTGGTGATATTACCCCCACATTTCCTTTTCAAATGACGTATTATTGAGACAATTAGGGTTGGGGAAGGATCAAACTCATGTTCTCCCTCTTCATTTACAAAATCAATATTATATTTGTGACAATTTTTTTCATAAATTATATCTATATATATAATTTTTTATTTATGGAGATTTATAAAATTTTATGTTATCTAAAAATAACATACATTTAATTTAATCGATATCGATTCTATCATTGATTAAATGTACTATATTATTGTTATATATATTCATCATGCCGACATACGAATAGTATCATCAACCTAAGCTTCACATCAATATTACTAAAAATATATATAAAATGCCGTGCAAAATAGAAAGAACACTAAAATTTTCTTTCAAAATTTAAACTCTTTCTATTATTCATCTTTTTCTTCATATTATCATTTCTCTACTTTTCTCACAGGATCATGATCATATCTCATCATTTAAATTAGAAATGAATTATCGAAAATGATCAAAATCACAAATTTTTCTATCAAGAATACTTAATTTGTTATTATAGTAGTTAGTAATACAACAGATCGGTGAATTCTTTGGTTTGTTGATATATTTAAGTTTTTTAGAAACATAATGATTATGTTTGAGAGTTGCAGTTTGCATTGTATTGCTTTGATGTTTTTTCCTCGCTTTTCATGAGATTCATATGCATGATCCCCGAAGAAGAGTC